ACACCAAAAACTCAAGTAATTCTTAAAGTAAGTATTCATTAAGGGCTAAATTGGGTCTTCCCACCCTCCCCAAAATTCATATGTTGAAGTCCTAACCTCACCCACCTTAGTCACCATTAAGTAGATGATTAAGTTAACGAGGTCATGAGTGTGGGCCCTAATCCAGTATTACTGTAGTCCTTATAAAAAGGAGAAATTTGAATACACAAAGAGACACCAGGGACACATGTGCCTGAAGGAAAAACCATATGAAGAGGCAGCAAGAGAGTGGCTATAAGCAAAGGAGAGAGGCCTCGGAGGAAACCAACCTACTGGCACCTTGATCTTGAACTTCCAGCCTCCAGAACTGTGAGAAAATAAAGTTCTGTTGTTTAAGCCACACAGCCTGTGGTATTTTGTTATGGCAGTTCTAGCAAACTAATATAGCATCAAAAACAACGAAACAGGAAAACAGGATGGGGGGCAGATAGTCTGACTCCTGCATCTGCTTTGTGAAAGAGCTGTCACACCCCTTGAGGTGTTCTACACAGGGCCTGAATGAAAGGGCCAAGCAGAAGTAAGCAGCCCTCTCAGCAACCCGACCCATCAGGACTCTGTCTGCCTCTGCCTCCCCAGCAGGCCCCATCCAGCAGCTGTGGGGGAAGAAAGCCCCTCCTGCCTTCATCTGTGTGTAATAGGCCAGCGCCAGCATCTGCAGGGAATCGGGCATCACGCAGGTGTGCTGGAGCGGGACAGGTGAGCAAGAGGTGCGCCTGGGCCCAGGAGCCCTCCACACAGAGTCTGGGCCACCAGTGTTGACTCACACCAACTTTTTTTTAGACTAGGAACTGAGAATGCGAATTTTATTCAATAAATAAAGTCATTACGAAAATATGTGCTTCAGCCATATATTATGATTTGCTAATGGGCAGAGGAGGAGTGAAAGAACTAGAGGGAAAGAAGAAAAAACAAGAAGAGAGAGACTATTAACGGGAGGACACCTACTGTGTTCCTGCTTTTTGAAATGTCAGTTAAGCATTGTTTACAGATCTTCAACTGCTCCAATCCCTAAGCCTGTTCCGGTTTGCTTACAATGAGATCCTTTCAGTAGACCACCAAGGAAGACATTCTTTGGGGGATGGGAGCAGCAATGGTGAACAGAACAATGTTAGGATGACATCAAGCTGGGAAGCAAATGGAAAGAAAGTTCTATAATCTGTGCCAGGTAAAATTCCTTGTGAAATCCCAGTCCTCAATGCAGCTCTTTTCACATGTACCTATTTTGTAGAGCACAGTGCATAATTTTTAAAAATATATTTTTATTGATTTTTTACAGAGAGGAGGGGAGAGAGGGTTAGTTAGAAACATCAATGAGTGAGAAACATCTATCAGCTGCCTCCTGCACACCTCTTACTGGGGATGTGCCCACAACCAACATGCCCTTGTTCGGAATCAAACCTGGGACCTCTCAGTCCGCAGGCTGACGCTCTATCCACTGAGCCAAACCGGCTAGGGCAAAGCACTTAATTTTTATTTTATCTTTTTTAGAGATTTTGTGGTTCACCCCTTACTGTATGGCTTTCATTTGCTTCCAAAATAGGGTTTTCAGCAAATAAGTATGTGAGTGGAAAAGGCAAATGCCATCTAAGATCTGGAGTCAGGATAGTCAGTGAAATTGACATTAAAACGAAGTGCATTAAAATATTTATATGCGCATTTGTGAAATATTAATGCAGCATCCTGGAAACACACAGGCAAACACTCTTGGGCAGGACACCCTCGGACCTCTTTAGAGACTTGCCTTTTAACCAGACACAGCTTTCGTCACTGGGAATGTTCCATATGCCTCAGAGCACACTGTGCAGCTGGAAGTGTCAGCTGGCAAAATGTCCTCTTCAGAGTCAACTCAACACACTGCTCCCCTGGGCCAGCTGCCGCACCCCTCTTCACACCTGGAGGGTACCAACCATCTGCCAGTGGCGAGGTCACGAGGACTGAGCCCTGAATGGGAGTGGGCACCTGGCTCTGGCTGCTGGACTTCCCAGGCATCCTTGGAGATGTGCATCCTCAAAGGTCTCCCTCTGCCCACGGCTTGGCCCTCTGCTTCCTAAGAGATTCTGGAAAACCCAGCTAATGCTGGGCTGAGGGGACTTGGTCAATAGGACTTTAAATAACCTGGATGAGAGGAGGGAGAGGAAGAGCAGTCTGTGGGCAGGACGGAGTCAGGATGCCCAGGACTTACAGAATGTGGACTCCTTTGGGTGGGGGGGGGGGGGGGGGGCATTCCTGTTCATTATCCTCACTCCACATCTAGAACAGTGTCAGGCACATGCTGGTTCACTGACCGACTCGCAGCCCATGGTATTGTCTGCTGAGGTGCCCCTACCCGGGGGCAGTGTCCTTTACTGTGAGAAGACGGACAACAGCAAGTGTGGCCATTTCTCTCTTTCCCAGGAATGAAGGATGAGGCAGGGAGCAGTAAGGGATAGATGAGAACTTGTTTAAAATGAGGCAAAGGGAATGCTCCATTCATTTCCACAGTGTATCACGCTGAAGCAAGGAGCATAGAATCAGGAGTCAGGAAGTCTGGGCTTTCATCAGATGTTTTCAAAAATGCGCTGTGCCATAGACCTAGTCGCTTCCTCTATCTAGTCTTCAGCTTCCTCTTCAGTAAAATGGGTCAAGATCATTCGGGGGTCTGATGTGGTGGGGGCCAAACATGGCAGGGATCTCCCTTTCTGCGTCCCACACGAAAAAAGAGAGAGGAACGAACGGGTTCTAAGTGGAGGCGGCCAGGGATTGAGAAATAAGAGAAATAAAGAGAGAAGACACAGAGATAGATTTAAAGCTGGGAGCTGGGTGGACCGCCATCCTGTCTGCTGGAGAGGCAGGAAGATGATGAAGATGACCTCTCCCAGCACATTTGTTTTATACCCCCAATACCAGAAAGTAACACTACTTATTTGCATTCTTAAGTAGGCCTTAGCATGCCTGGATTTACATATCTAGTCCCGCCCCTGCCAACACCTGGGCTGATATGAAGGCCAAGCTGACATGTTCGCCATCTTGAAGAAACATGTTCCCAGGGTGTGGCTCTGCCTATGCCTTGAGTTCAGGCAGATAATAATTAAGGAAAATTGCCCATGTGCCTTCCCAGGCGACCCTCTACAAAGATCTAAAAGGCTAACCCCATGGTCATGATTAAAAACTCAGACTGAGTTTGTCAAAGCCATTCACTCTCGCCTTCCTAGCAGGAGGGCAGTGCCTACCCTCCACCACACTTGACTTCCTAAGAGCACCCGTAAGCTCCCATTCGAGAGCATTCCACTGGTGACATGTGACCAGCCACAGCCAAGAGCCCCTCACTGGCCCCGGGGCCCTGAACACAGTTCTCAGCCTCGGCTGAGAGGCTGCAGTGAGGCCCAGGGCTGGCTTTGCCTGAGAACTACAAGTCAATGCACAGCTTTCTGCCACAGCCTGCAGGCCCACTCCATTTCAGCCTACAAGCTTTTCCAGAACTGGATGGCCCTTCTGTTCCTGTGGGCTCTTTTGCTCAGAATCCATCTACTTGGATGAAGGCAGCTTGATCCACTCTCTCACATGAGGGCCTTAAAACTTGCTATGAACAAAGGGAAAGGCTGCCTCAAACCATTTTCACTTTTTCCTTTCTCCTTCCTGGCTCACTTTCCCCCTCTCCTTCCAAAATTTTCCCTTTCTTTCCACCTCTTCACAGGTTCTCTCTCTGTCTCAGGGCCTCACCCTGACCTTTTTGATTTCTGGTGTCCAAGGGTCTTCTGTTGGGTTTATGGAAAACATGGCCAAGATATCCATGTCCATTAAGGTTCCTTTACCATATTTACTCCATGGTCCAAGTAATCTGGACCCTCTCCTTTCTCTTCCCTCTCCTTTCTCCCTGTGGGTCCTTCTTTATCCTTCTCCACCCACATCTTCATTTATTTATTTAAAACATATTTTTATTGATTTCAGAGAGGAAAGGAGAGGAAGATAGAAACATCAATGGTAAGAGAGAATTATTGATTGGCTGCCTCCTACATGTCCCCCACTGGGGATCTAGCCCTCAACCTGGCTATGTGCTCTGACTAAGAATCGAACTGTGACCTCCTGGTTCATATTTCAATGCTCAACTACTGAGCTATGCTGGCTGGGCTCCATCCACATCTTTAAAAAGTCCCCTGCAGCCAAAACCGGTTTGGCTCAATGGATAGTGTTGGGCTGTGGACTGAAAGGTTCTGGGTTTGATTCCTGTCAAGGGCACATACCTTGGTTGCGGGCACATCCCCGGTGGGGGTGTGCAAGAGGCAGCTGGTCGATGTTTCTCTCTCATCGACGTTTCTAGCTCTCTATCCCTCTCAATTCCTCTCTGTGTAAAATCAATTAAAAAATAAATAACAATTTTTAAAAAGTCCCCTGCCATAATTGGCAGGTGCATTTGTTTTTTGGGGGCTGTTTTAATAAATACCACAGATTGGTGGCTTATACACTGGAAATGTATTCCTCACTGTTCTGAGGCCAGAAGTCTCAGATGGAGGTCTTGACAGGCTTGTTTTTTTCTGAGGCCTCTCTCCTTGGCTTGTTGATGGCTGCCTTTTCCCTGTGTCTTCACATGGTCTCTCTTCTGTGTCCTAATCTCCTCCTCTTATAAAGACACCAGTCATATTGGAATTAGGGCCCACTGGCCTCATTTTAACTTGCTGACTTCTTTAAAGACCCTATGGCCAAATATTGTCATATTCTGTGGTACAGGGGTCCCAAGACACAGCTCAGCCCACACCATCAGGGGTGATGGCGATAGTAGTAGAGACAGTACAGCCATTAGATGCCATATCTGATTTAGGGGAGGATATAAAAGATGCGTGCCTTATAGTTCAGTGGGGGTGGTTTTGTATGACCTTCTGAGACACTGTCCACTCAGCTCACCCTAACCCTGGGTGCTCCCCCAGAGTCACAGGCACCTGAGCTAAAGAAAATCAGATGGAGAGAGACCTGAAAGAAGCCAACTATCAGATAAACCAGAAGTTTAATAAAAATGAAAAAAAAAAAAGTTACAATACAGTGGGCTGGCAATGGGCTGCTTTAGAAGGTCTGATACATTGGTCGACGTGATGTGCTGACTCCATGTGGGTTCCAGGAGGTCACAGGATTGGTCCCTCATGACAAAGATTCACTTTGGCTTGTCCTCATGGGGGAGGCCTCTGTCCTCCTGGTGTCATGTTTGACCAGGCTGGTTCTGGACTCCCTCATCCTGTGAGGAAAACTGCCTGAATCTGACCTTCACCACTGATGACAATGTTCATTTACATCCTTTTCTTAAGTCCATGCCTGCACCCCAGCTTCTGAGGTTGCCAGATGGATACGAGCCCATTTTATGGAGAATAAGTGCTTCGGGGATGCTGGCACCTCCTCCGTGGGAAAAGCCACAGCTCCCGGGGTCTCCTGGATCCCCTGCAAACTCCTCTGAACCCTGTAGGCCCATCTCTCTTGCAACACGTTCAGAAATGCAGAATGCCTGGGTGCTGGTAACAAACGGGACCAAGAGTCTGCGCAGAAGGGGCCCCGCTGGGCCTGGGCTCCCTGGCGGCCACGGAGAGCCCGGTCAGTTAGGAGGTACTGCTCCTCCTCCGGGGGAGGAGGGCTTTCCTCTTGGCGATGTCCTCCTCTGTGTCACTCTCACAATTCCTCTGGAGGAAAAAAGAGGCAAGAGGGTCATGAGATGTCAGGATTGGGGTTGTGCCACGCAACCTGGCCTGGTACACCTGGGCCAGGGGGCTGCAAGCCAGAGAGGTGGATGTTGAGAGGAAGGCTGTTGTTCTGTTCAGAGACTGGGCACGGGGCGGATAGGGCGGAGAAGGACCTGAAGTGAGGCCAGATCAAACGCCAGGAGGAAGGAAAACAGGTACCCTCGTGTCTAGGGGGGAAACAGGTGCCGGGAGAAGCCAAATTACAACAATAATGAAAATTGTATCTGGTGGCTGCCACATGACCAAGCCCACTTGGATACATGGTCTGTGGTCTGATAGGCCTCCTGAGCTCAGACTAGAGAAAAGTGGGGAGCTGGGAGCCACCGGGACCGCCCCCCTCCAATCCCTGACAGTGACCGCTCTATCCCTCCTTCCTCCATTGGCTTAGGATGCACCTTGAGCGAGCCTTGCCATGCGGTTTTTCCAGGGAAATAGCTTTTGTGCTCCATTTTTATGAGAGAGGAAAAATTCAAGTTCATTCCATGGCTAAACCAAAGCTGAGGCCCTGGAGGTCACAGTGTCTTTTTCATTCAGGCCCCACTGATCTACTGAATTATTAAAGTTACTAAAAAAGTACTAATTCAGAAAGACTTAAGCAAGTTATAAAAAAATATCTGCTGTAAGATGTTCAATTTTAATGCTTCCTAAGTGAAATGACCTTTTTTCTTTCTTTCTTTCTTTTCTTTTTTTTTCTTTTTTTTAAAGGAAAATCCCTTTGGGAAACTTTGTAATGGATGTCTAGGACCCAACCTTTTTCCACTTGCAGGGTGAGCCATTGTGCTAATGGTGCTGCGCATTTGAGTAAAAAGAGGACTTTTTAAAATGCTTATATAAGGAGAAGTCTTAGGCTAGAAATGGATGGTCTTTTTAATACTCTCTGGTCCTCTCTCCCCGCAGCCTGCATTATATCAGGGCAACGCAGCTGGAAGGCATGCCTGCTGTCCACTTATGTCTTCCCAGGGTCTCCTCCCCTCCCCCTGGTCTCAGCCACTTGGAAATCCAAGGTCAAGATCAACTTTAGCCAAATACATCCTGGACCAAGTGGCTGTAACAATAAAAATAACTCAAGCCCTGCTGAATAGCAACTTTTTAGTGTGTGTCAGAGCCAAACAATAAAAAAAGTAGGCGGGGGGAAATTCTGCCTGTCATTAGCAGGGATTTTCAGAGGGAGCAAGTCCAATTCCTTTTATAGCAGATGAGAGAAGCGGCCAGGGAAGGGACATAGCCTCGCCAAAGCCACGTAGTTGTTTCAGTTCTCTGGAGCCATAAATCCTCAAGTCCTGAGCAAGAGCAAGAATCAACAAGAGCTGAGTCTGAAGAAAGTGGACCCCAGGATGTGGGGGAGGAGGGAGGAACACAGGGGCTGCGCCGGGTCCTGGGATTCAGCCCGGGTGCTGTGTCCTAAGGCTGCTCAGGGCTGACTGCCCATCTGTCTCAGGCAGCTGCCTTCCAGGCCTGTCCTGAGCAGGAGTCACCTTCTGTCCTGACCTGTGCCACCCCAGACATGCCTGGGGCCCTCACCACACTCAGCGAGCAGTGAGGAGCATCTGTCCAGCTGAAAACACTGGCACTGCATTCGGAAGCGCTAGCCCTGCATTGTGAAGTCTACAGGAGTATTTTAGACAACAGTAACCGCTAACGTGTATTGAGCACTTGCAGTGTCAGGCTCTAAGAATATGTCATCATTTAATCCCCATGACTGCCCTATGGGGTAGGAACTGTTGTTAACCCCTTTTTACCAATGATAACATTTTGGCACAGAGAGGTTAGGTAATTTCCTCAAAGTCACACAGCTATTAAGTGGCAGATGTGAATCCTGGCAGTCTGGCTCCAGAGGCCCCACTCTTGATCAGTGTATTATAAGTCCCTCAATTTAAATGTACACAAAAAACGGTAACAAGCTAATCAAATGTATCTAATTATTATTATTGGTGTTTAGCTAAAGCTACACAGAGATAGAACAATTGAAACATGAATGTAAAGCTCCCATTCTACAGCAGATCTTTGGATTGCCAGGAAAACATTTTGGATTGCCAGTGGTAGTCTCATTATCCGGAGTCCTTGGGTCCCGGCACACTTCCTGTCCTCAGGGAAAGGCTGGGCAGTGAGGCGGCAGCGGCCGTGCCTTTGAAGGCCCATCGGGAGAGGACTGAGATCCTCCAGGGCTCTGCTTCTCCTGGCACCATCTAGGTGGTCCCTCTGAACACCAGGCCCCCACCAATCACAGGGCAGAGGAAGGCAGGCCAGCAGAACTGGCTGGAAACAGTTAAGACCCAACTTCTGCTGAAACCGGTTTGGCTCAGTGGATAGAGCGTCGGTCTGCGGACTGAAGGGTCCCAGGTTCAGTTCTGGTCAAGGGCATGTACCTTGGTTGCGGGCACATCCCCAGTAGGGGGTGTGCAGGAGGCAGCTGATCAATGTTTCTCTCTCATCGATGTTTCTAACTCTCTATTCCTCTCCCTTCCTCTTCGTAAAAAATAAATAAAATATATAATTTTTAAAAGATTCTAAAAAAAAAAAAAATCCACCTGCTCCCCTTTATCCCCGGGCTCCAGGCCCCCGTGAGTTCCACCCCAGAAGAAGGCACTGCCTTTATTTACCAGGCTGTCATCTGGCCTCAGGTGCACCTTCTTCATCAGGGTGCGGGTGAGGTGGTTGCACAGGGAGACGATGCTGAAAGAGAGCTGAGGGAGGGGGAGGAGAGGAAGTGCCAGGTGAGAATGTGCACAGAGACCCTGGAGGGAACCAGGAACCCCCCACCCGCAGCCCCCCACCCCTGAGCCCTGACGCACCTTCCACCGCCTGCGGACGTACTGCTTCTTGAAGTTCTCCAGGTTGACCACGGACTCCCTGCGCACCAGGGCTTGCTGGTTGTCCACCGGCTGGAGACAAAGCAGAGCATAGCCGCTGATGCTGAGCTTTGGGCAGCAGCCACTCCTCTCCACAGAACCCCCAACCACACGCCATCCTTAGCCTGACCCAGGCACCCTCTGCCGGGCAGCGCATGCGGAGGGATATCACACCGAGGACAGCGTTTACAGATGTTCCAGCTGTTCAGCAGATGCCCTCGGTGCCCCTGAGCTATTATTACCACAGCCGGATGCACAGGCTGGCAGGGCAGAGGTGGAGCTTCCGCAAGAAGAGAGGGAGGCAGGGCTTGCGATCACAAATCACTTTGGGGAAGGGTCACTGTGCCCTGGGCCTGGTGGGCTTTAGCACACGGATGCCTTGTTGCCAAACAGGACATTGTACTTCATTCCAAAGTAAATGGAGGAAGTAGGGGCTGTGATGGAGGTCAAGAGGAAATGGAATGTGTAGTTGCCTTTCGTGGCCTGAGAGTCAAGGCTCAGCTTCGATCCTGACTTCTCCAAGAAGCCTGGATGGCTTTTCTGAGCCTCAGTTTTCTCATCTGTAGCATGGGGGTCATAAGTAACATTGTACAATATATCAGGGTTGTTTAGGATTGAATGAACGTGGGTATGTAAAGTGTTTAACCTAGAGATGCTCAATAAATAGAAATAAATTATTGATAGCCTTCCTGCCTTCTCCATCCTCTCTTTTTAAAATTTATTTTATTTTAAAAATTGCTTTATTTTTACCAAGAAGATGAACATATTTAATGTATACAATTTGATGAGTTCATTCCCTCATAATTCCTCCCCTTCTGTAAATAAAACAAGGATTTCTGAGACCAAGAGACAGGTTTTGGGGGTTCTATGAATTTTCTGAAATGGTTTATAAATTTTAGTGTGTAAACTTGAAGGTGAATGTTCACAGCAGCATCATTCATAACAGTCAAAAAGTAGAAACAACTGAAATGTACATTAACTGATGATGGACAGACAAAATTCGGTCTATCCACACAATGGAATATTACTCATGAAAAGGAATGAAGTGGTGATCTGTGCTGCACACGAATGAACCTTGAAAACAGGCAGGAGCAAAAGTCTGCGTATTGTACGATTCTACTTGCATCATATGTGCAGAATAGGCAAACCCATGGAGACAGACGATAGGTTAGTTGCCAGGGGGTGCAGAGAGGGAAGAATGGGGAATGACTGCTAAAGGGTATTAATAAAAGGGTCTGGAATTATACAGTGACGATTGCTGCACAATCTGTGAATATACTAAAAACCACTGAATTGTATACTTTTAAAAGATACGTTTATAAAATGTAAATTATATCTCAAACAATTTAGAATTTATGTGCAGATACACATTTCTTCTGAGGAGAGTCGACAGCTTTCACCGATTCTCAAAGGATGCTGGAACCTCAGGAAATGAACGGCCCAGCTCTACTTCTCTCTCTGCTCTGACGGCCTCCACCCAGCAATGCCTCACTTGGCACCTTAGTGAATGTGGGGCAAGGCAGCTCATTGGTTCCTGAGTGCTAGTCTTACTCTTAACCACCCTTGTTTAGTTCCCATCATGGTGCTAGGCTCCAGGGGAAGCTGGTGCACACTGTTGGCCCACTCTGCCCTGGACTTAACATCTTCTATGTCCACCCAACCCCCAGCGTCCTGGAAGGCCTCTGTGTTTTAAAGCCCAATTCAAATGTGATCTCCTTTAAGATAACTTCCAAGAAACAACGTCCCTCTCCCCAACGTGACCAAAACACAGGTGAGCACCCTTATTACATATATCACCCACCTCAGCCCCACTATTGGAAAACAACCTGAGGGCACAGAATTTTCTTTATATGTTTGTCACTGTTCCTGGCCCCACCTCCTTCCCACTCAGAGCATTCCACAATGGGTGCTGGCTAGTGGTATGTTGAAATTGTTTTCCTGAGCTGCTGAAGAGACCAACTGAAATAAAACCTGGGACTTAGGACCTGCTAACTCCTGCCAATGAGAGACCAGGCACCTGGGTTGGCAGCCATGACACCATGACAAGGTGTCATAACACCAAGACTCCCCACAGCTCTGCCTGAGAGTCAGCAAAGTTCTGTCAGGGAGAATGGGGGAGGGGGGGTGGTCAGAGAGGAGAGTGTACACAACCTTGACACATGAGAGAGAGCTAGGGTAAGTCACCCCCGCCTCCCAAATTGGAAAATAGTGGTTTAGATCAAAGAGCATAGGAGGACAGAAGGGAGGGGGAGGAGAAAGAAAGATGGAGAGGGAAGAGAAGAGCATAGGGCACCGAGGGGAACATCGGGCCAGCTCTGCCACTCCTTCCTTAATTGCCTTCACCTCCTCTGCCACACTTGCAAGCCCAGCCCTGGGCCGAGGACTCACCTGGAAGGGAGATGCAGAAGAGAGCAGAGCCTGCCCATTCCTGGTATCAAAGCCTTCCAGCAGCTTCCTGGCTCTCTTAATGGAACTCAACATGTTCACCAAGACCCCCAAGGCCTGAACCACCTGGGTCCTTCTCCAACCTGATTTCCTCCCTCTCTCTTTCCTATCGCTATGGCTCCCATTACACAGGTCTGCTTGCTAGTCCCAGGAACCCATGGTCTCAGGGTTTTGCCCTGGCTCCTTCATATTCACTTTGTCACTTTGCTTAAATGTCACCTCCTCAGAGAGGCCTTTCTTAGTCATCTACATAATAAAAGCCTAAGGGACTGTTACAGCAGAACAACCAGAATGCCTGGTCACTGTGATATGCACTGACCATCAGGGGGCAGATGCTCAATGCAGGAGTCTCCCCCTGGTGGTCAGTGCACTCCCACACGGGGAATGCTGCTCAGCCAGAAGCTGGGCTCATGGCTGGCAAGTGCAGTGGGCAGTGGTGGAAGCCTCTCCTGCCTCCGTGGCAGCACTAAGGTGCAGTGAGCCCAGTGAGCAGACAGGCGGTAAGGAACAAAGGATCCTGGACTGAGAGAAGGCGCAGGCCAGGCTGACAGACAACACCCCCCCACCCCCACCAAGTGCATGAATTTTGTGCACCGGTCCTCTAATCTTATATAAAATACCACCCAGCTGCTCCACACAACTCACTGTGCCTGGGTCCTACTTTTCCCAGCATGTGTCACTGTCATTTTATTCTGCAATTGTACGGGGTTTTTTTTTGTTTGTTTGTTTGTTTGTTTTGTTAGTTCCCCTCTCCTGCATCTCCCAGCAACTAGTGTCTCCTTTCCAATGTGATTTTCTGCCTCCCCAATCCACAGAATATGTCTACCTCTAACTTCACTGATGCCTGCAATTCATCTTTGGACCTAACCCTTGCAGTGGACACTCACACTCCATTTTGAGAGTTTGATGAGGAAGGAGGAGTCTACCCACCTACTGATCGGCACCACTGCCAGGAGAGAGATGCTTAAACCCCACGGCTGGAAGTCACCATGCAGGCTAGGGGAATCCTGTTTATGAGAATCCCATCTTCCAACTGGTCTAGCAGTGCCAGCAACAGCAGAGAGGCCCAACTAAAATATCAGGTGGGATCACTCACAGAGGCCATTCCTGGGAGGTGATGCAATTCCTTCTAGGGCCCTGTCTATATGCTACACAAAACAGCATGCACTCTGAGGAGGAGGCCACCAGGGCTGTAAATCTATCAGCCTGGCCCTTCCTAATCAATGGCCTCCTTGGTTGCTAAGAGAGCTCACCAAATGCTGACTCTCACCTAAGCCTTGAAAATCAGAGGTGCAAATTCTGCAGTGAAATCTGTTCCCAGAAGGAACATGGCACTAACACTTCTGATAAACTGAGAGTATGAGGGGGGTGGAGCTAGGTTCTGCCTGACCCCCACCCCCATCTCTCTGCAAACAGACAGTGCCCGCCTTCGTCCGGCCAGTAGTCCCCAGGGATACCAGAGAGTCTGGGCAATTCTGACCAGGCTCCTAGGAGCATGTTTTGTGTCTCAGAAAAATGTCAGGGAGACAAGAAGACAGAATGCTGTGGCCAAAGTCAGGTTTTGTTTTGCAGGCGCTAATGCCTTTGACAAAGTCCAGTGGGGTGACCTAGGTCAGCACCCCATCCATAGAGCAGGGAGATGAAGCAGCAGCCACCCTACAGGTATAAAAAAGAACCCTGGCTTTTCAGAGGAGGCACTCCGGAAGATTTTTTTTTTTTAAATACCAGGCCTCCTCTAGAAACTGCAAACAGATTGCAAGTTTTCAAACCTCCATCTGTGTCATTTCTCCAGCCCCATCCGCCACTGAAAACCAGGGAAACCCGAGCGCCCACTTCCCTCTCCTGCCCAGGTCTGTTACTCTACCCCCAGCCCCCTTTCACCGATCTCTCTATAGGCAGCCCCTTCACCTCTGCCTTTTGCTGGCTGGTTTCCTGGCTGAAGCCTAGACTCTATCTAGACCCGTGGTCGGCAAACTGCGGCTCGCAAGCCACATGTGGCTCTTTGGCCCCTTGAATGTGGCTCTTTCACAAAATATCACGGCCTGGGCGAGTCTATTTTGAAGAAGTTTAAGTTTAAAAAATTTTGCTCTCTTCCAGCAAACAAAAGCCCAGGGCCAGATGGCTTCACAGGAGAGTTTTACCAAACATTCAAGGAAGAACTAAAAACTATCCTCCTCAGACTATTCCAAAAAATCTAAGAGGAAGGAAAACTTCCAAACTCCTTCTATCAAGCCAGCATCACCCTAATACCAAAACCAGATAAAGACAACTCAATGAAAGAGAATTACAGGCCAATATCCCTCATGAACATAGATGCCAAAATCATCAACAAAATTCTAGCAAATCGACTCCAGAAGAACATCACAAAGATCATACACCATGACCAAGTAGGATTTATTCCAGGAATGCAAGGATGATACAATATCTGCAAATCAATAAACGTGATGCATCACATAAACAAATTGAAAGATAAAAATCATATAAGTCATATCAATTGATGCAGAAAAAGCATTCGATAAAATCCAACACCCTTTTCTGATAAAAACTCTCAACAAGGTGGGAGTACAAGGATCATACCTCAACATAAT